GCTTTCAAGTCAGCGTCCAGCAAAGCAGGGAGGCAGAGAGCGTGACAGAGGGCACCTGCGCTGGCAAGGTTGGAGCCCAAACGTGAGCGCTTGCTCACGCTCTCTCCATGAAGATGTGCGCCAGGTCGCTGGGCAAATGGGCTGAGGGTTAGGAGAGAGATGCAGCTGGAAATAGACTTGTGAGAGCTATCTGTATTTCAGTGGCTGGGGTCAGGGGAGGAGAAATGGATGGTCACTTTTTGAGGTTCTACATTATTTCCGGTGCTTCACGAGCACTGTCTCATTTCTTTTTTTTGTCCTCACCCAAGGACATTTTTCCTTTTTTTTTTTTTCAGATAGAGTGGGAGGGAGGGAGAGAGAGAGAGAGAAACATCGACATGAAAGGGACACATTGAGTGGTTGCCACCCACACGACCCAACCAGGGCCGGGGACAAACTGCAACCGAGGTACGTGCCCTTAGCGGGAACCGAACCAGGGTCTCTCTGCACCGCAGGCCGACGTTCTAACCGCTGAGCCAAATTGGCCAGGGCGAGCACCGTCTCATTTAAATGTCTCAACCACCTCGGGAATTTTCTGTCTGAAGAGGCCGAGGCTCCAGAAACAGAAAGAACCAGAGCTCTTGGCCACCTCTTGCAAACCAGTCATGAAGCTAAGTTTTATTGAACTAGACTTGGCTTTGGCTCGAAACCAGGATAAAGTGAGTGATCGTGGAGAAAGATGTGCTTTTGCCACCTTTGGTCTGCTAGTTGCCAAAGTCCAAGATTAATTTTCTTTGGGTGAAACTGACTCTGTGTGTACACTCAAGTGCATGGAGTACAGATGAGCTTTGAATGACTATACTTAGAATCCTGAGCAGGACCTTAAGCAGAAATTCTCTTTTTAGCAGTTTTATGCTAAGAGATGTTCTTTCAGGATTGTTTTTCCTCCGCCAGCCTGGGGGATGCAGCGGGAAGAATCCTGAGGTAGGAATATTAAAACCTGGTCTTCACTTCTGTTCTGTCTTGTTTGGTGTGTCACTTAGGACCGGCTGGCCCCGCCTTCTTGGGCTCGGATCTGTCCCCTGAAAAATGAGATACTTGGACTTCAGCGAGTACTTTTCAAACTTTAATGTGCATATGAACGAATCTCCTGGGGATGGTGTTAAAATGCAGTTTCTGAGCCATTGGGTCCATGACCACACTTGATTACATTACCCTCTGAGGTGCCGTTTGGCTGTCAGCTTACCCAGTTACCAAATAAAGAAAAGCATCGTGTCAACAGCTGATAACAATAAGTATTTATTATCAAAATAAAAATACCTAGTGGTCTGTTTATAAAAGTAATTCATGCTTTCAATTAAAAAAATAATAATGATACCACCACACTGTAATATAAAAGGCAGGGGCTGAAAATCATGCTGATTGGATGCTGCTCCGACAGGGTGGGGTCCCGAGAACCGAGTGCCGCCGTCAGGATACTCTGTGTTACCTTGGCTCTTCAGATTGTGGGGCTGGTAACTTGAATTCGCTGTGCATCCATTGGGCCTTGACTGATTTGAATTGTGTCTTCCTATTGTGGTAGATTTGCTCCTGTGTCAAATGATTTCCAATTGCCCACGGCCTGGATGTGGGAGGAGGTGGTGAATGACTCTCCAGGGTCAACCCTGCCAGGGCGAAATGACCTTGAGGATATCCAGAAGGGGGAGGCTTAACACAAAATTAAGGTGCATTGAAAGCTGATCAGGAAAGAGAGGGTTCTGCATACACATTAGTGTTTTGGGAACAATTTAGGTCACGATCATTATTTATTGAGGAGGAAACCTTGTGTACTTCTTCTGTACTTTGCTCACTGATCACGTAAAGCCAGCTGAGTGTAAGTCAAATGGCTACAGTATTAACACTGTATCCGTAAGATCTGCTGCTCATTAAAACATACACATGACACATTTTAAAGGTTCAGTTAGAGTTGGCTGAAATACACAACTATCAGATGTAAGATTGTAGAGTGCAAATATCAAATTGACTTTATTATTTACATTTTTTTTCTTTGTCTCCTTGAAGCAGCCACAGTTCCTATATGTACCAATTTACTGACCCTGGCGAGAGGAGACAGCACTGCCCAGCATCTTCTTTACCTTGTATGTTATTGTTTTTTCATGTTTGACAAGTGGACTAGAAAAGAAATGACATCTCTACCTTCTACTTGTGTTTTTATGGGAGATTACATCTTTGTTGTTTAATTGGCTTTTTGTGTATCCTTTTTTTTTTTTTTAACTTATTATGTTTATTCTTTTTTAAAAAATCTTTATTGTTGAGAGTATTATAGATGTTCCCCTTTACCCCCTCCCATTGCCCCCTCCACCCGGCTCCCACCCCACCCCAGTTTCTCTGCCACCCTATTGTCTGTGTCCATGGGCAATGCATATACACATATAAATTCTTTGGTTAATCTCTTCCCGCCTGCCTCCCCAGCCCCTTTCCTCTGAGATTCATCCATCTATTCCATGTTTCCATGCCTCTGGTTCTATGTTATTCATGAGTTTATTTTGTTCATTAGATTCCACAAGTAAGTGAGATCATGATATTTGTCTTTCTCTGACTGGGTTATTTTGCTTAGCATAATCATCTCCAGGTCCCTCTATGCTGTCTACAAGGGTCCTTCTTTTTTACAGCTGCATAGTACTCCATTGTGTAAATTTACAATCGCTTTTTTATCCACTCATCTGCTGGTGGGCACTCGGGCTGTTTCCAGACCTGAGCAATCGTAAACAGTGCTGCTATGAACATAGGGGAGCACATGTTCTTTCTGGTTGGTGTCTCAGAATTCTTAGGAAATATTCCTAGAATTGGGATCACAGGGTCAAATGGCGGTTCCATTTTTAATTTTCTGAGCAAACTCCACAGTTTTCCATAGTAGCCACATCACTATGGAAAACAGTGTGAAGTTTCCTCTTTAAGTTACTAGTTTATGCCTCTTAGCTTCATTTAAATTTCTTTCAATTCTTGTGGTCTCGGTAATGAGTACACTGTCCCCGCTCACCCCTTTTGCAGTTTGTTGTGAGCTGAGAAGCCTGTGGACGACTCCCCCACTGCCCCTCCCATTCTTCGGGCCACCTCTGAACTTTGTACAGACTTCAGTGATTACCTCGGTGACATCACACCTTAATTGTTAACAGTCTCCTTCTCTCCTCAGGCTTTGAGCACCTTGGGGCAATGCTTTTCTGTCTTCAGCAACTAGCACAGATTCTCAAATATTTTTTGAACTGAATTGTTTGATTGTGACCCTGACATTTTCCCAATTCCTTGTTTAAATAGAAATAGCTAAATAAGGATAGCTAACATTAAGTTAGATTCTAAATGGCACTCCAAACAGTGTCCACAGAATTTAATCCACAGACGTTGTAACTTCCACTTGACGTTTTTAGAAGCAGTCATTTATTTCTTCCATATTTCTCGGCTACATTTCTGAGATGATAGAAACTATGAGGACCAACAACTAAAGAGGCAAAGTACCGCTGTCTGAGAATAATAATAATTATAATCCTAATGGGACGAGGGCATTAAAGCATTGAGATCGGAACCAGACTTGCAGTTATCAGCAATTTTAATATATTGTTTCCACTGAGATCATTGACTCTAGTTGTAATAAATATAGCACAAAATTATGAGCCTTGCAGACTTTGAAATAAATTTCCATTCCAAATTCAGAAATGAACAACAATCAGCCTAACTCTATTGAGAGGTACTTTGAAAAACCTTTGCAAGTTTCCACAATACTAGGAACAAATGGATTTTAAAGCATCACCTGAAAACTTATCAGAGAGGACTCTTAAAATGGCATTGGGTGCAAGAAAGTTCAACAAACATCTTTTATGTACATTTCTGTATAATTATTCAAATTTGTATTCACATGTATATTAAAATAAGCATTCTCCACCACTGGGTTTTCTGTGTGGATCCTTTTGTATGCCTTAGATGTCCTTCATCCTCATCCCCAAACCCAGCTCTGTGAATTACAAATGCCCTTCCCCCATCTTAACCCAAAGGAGCGCTCCATCCTCTGCCCTCGGGGCACACTGGCTGTTTCGGGGGTTTTGTTGCTTGCAGTCTGGAACCCTTAATAACTCTGCAATGTGTTCTAGTTATTTGTGGGCGTCTCATTCCCCCCTGTACCGTGTAAGCATCTAAAGAACAAAGCCCAGGAGACACACGTACACGCTCAAATGTTAGCTGTGACACTCCTCGTCCTGGACTTGTGACGGGCATACAGCTCAGCTTGCCCATTCCAGAGACTGAAATGATTTCTCCGGCGTCCTGGAGCCGGCAGCGTGAGAGTTGTGAGGGAAGACACTGTGATTACCAAGGTCTGCCGGACCCTCCGCTGCCCTGCGTGCGAGGACACGTGCGTGGCAGGGGCGCGGGCGCGCGCGCGCGCACGGGCGCAGACCCTGGCGGCTTTGCAGGGAGAGCGCTGGAGCTCCAAGCGGCCTTGGCCGGTCCCCGCCGTCTCCGCCGCGGCTTTCCCGGGGTGTTTTGGGGAAGGTGTCTCGCTGGCTCTCCGGAGTGGAATGCAACCTCTTCGCAGCGCAGCGCCGGAGAGGTGAGGGGCATTTAAACGCGGGCATTTTACGCAACACTCCGAGGTGTCCTTGCTGCGGGCATGGGAGGCAGCTGGGCGCTGCCTCCAGCCTGGCGCCTGTCGGAGCTGAGCTTGGAAGAGCCGCGTGGGCTGGGGATGCAACAGGATTTGGGAGCCGCGGCCGGAGAGCCAGGCCACCTAGCGGCTTTGTCTCGGGTTCTGGCAGCTTCTCCTGCCCGAGATTCAAACGCGAGCCGACCGGGCCCTTCCTCGCACTCATTGGAAGGGGCCTGGAGTGACTCACGTTTCCCTGGCTCTCCTCCTCCCTCCCCGCCCCTGCTCGATTGTAGCTTTAAAAGGAAGTGACATGGGGTGGGGAGAGACGTCAGCTGAGGACCACTTTTCTCCCCCCCTGAAGGGTCCACCCTATGGGTGGAGTCTCGCCTTTTCTTTCCAGTGTTGGCTGACTTACAGCTCCCATAAACTAGTGGCAATTGCTGCACCCCAGCCTGCTCCCTTTCAGTTTCTGGTTTCTAGTCCATGTGCCCAGGGCTGCCAGGAAGGAGGTATGTGCCGCTCGTGTGCTATTTCCAGGCGACTTCACCTCTGGGCGCGGGGGATTGGTGGCCTGTCCCTACCCCGGTCATTCTCTCCCTGGCTGGATTTCCTGAACCCTCTGGAAGGGGTAGGTGCCGGCAGAGGAGCGGAGGCCGAGCCGAAGGAAGTGTGGCCGGGAACGCGGAGGGCAGCCGGGAAGGCAGACCTGCCCCCCGACGGGCTGTTCCTTTGTGCTCGGCCGGGGAGCTGCCCTTCCCCTGGCCATGGCCAGCTGCCTCTCTCGGCCTGATGCCCTCTGCCCCGCAGAACCCTTTGGCTTAAAGCATTTTTTCTGCAGTAGATGAAGCTGGGAGAAGGCTCCAGCTACAGACTGGTCTCTTTTGTGTCATGCAACATGTTCTTCCCTCTTTGGCGTTTCTATGGCAATCACAAAAATACTACACAAAATGCAGCCCCGACATAAATGGATCGATCTGCATTTCGTTCCGAGCTGGTCGCTTTCCGCCTCGTTGTTCATGCCTTGGCTGGCTGAAATCCAGCCGGGCTTTGTGCTACCCTCCTCACTTTCATTTTGGTTTTTCCCTATCACAGGAGGGCTGGGGGAGGGGAGTTGTCAAGGAAACGGGCATTTGTAGCTGCCTCTCTTTTACTTAATTTTCGGCCTATGAATTTCTGCATCATATCTAGGAATTATGAAGGGGATGGTTTGGTGTTGGCGAAAGTCTTCAGTTTCTGGTCTTTTTAAGAAAACCTGAACAGGTCTCAAGACAAGATGTTTGTGCTGTGGTCAGACAAGGGGGGTGGGGAGGAGCACCACTCCTTTATAGGGGGAGAGACCCTGGAGAGAAGTTAAGAAGGTGGTGGAGAATCGGCACTGAAAGATCTGGTATTGTCTGCTCAGGTTTGCCTAAAAGTCTAAATCTCGACAGCAGAGGTCTTTGCTCCAGTCTGAACTTCCGTAGCACCTACCTACTCTGGGTTCAACAAGTCTGAGGGAGGGGCAGGTGGCAGCGGCCAGCATGGCTCAGCGCGGTGCCCTGTGTGACTCAACCGCTCTCCACTGTCCTGGGGGGGGGGGGGAGGTGCACAGAGCTTCTTTCCAGAACTGGGGAAGGGTTAACCCATGTGACTGTTTGTCCAGCATCTTCAATTGGAAAGAAAGTATCCTGAGATAAGGGACAAAGTGAGTGTGTGCTGTGTGTGTGTAGATGTGTGTGTGTGTATGTGGGGTGTGTGTGTAGATGTGTGTAGGTGAGTGTGTGTAGATGTATGTGTATGTGTGTGTGTAGGTATATGTGTGTGTGTGTAGGGGTGTGTATGTATAGATGTGTGTGTAGATGTATGTGTATGTGTGTATGTAGGGGGTGTGTGTATATGTATGTAGGTGAGTGTGTGTGTAGATGTGTATGTGTGTGTGTCGGTATGTGGGTGTGTAGGTGTATGTGTGTGTGTGTAAGTGGGTAGGGACAACAGGAACAAATCAAGAGTCCTAGGTTAAAACTACTGAATCTTGTTAATACCCTCAATGGAAAGAAGAAAAATTGGTTGCAGGGAAAATATAAAATAGGAGGGAAAAGTATCATCTAGTAATAGCAAAGTTAAATATGATTAGAATCTAATCACATGTGTCAGAAAGACATAGTCCAAATGGGCTGAGTAACGGGCAGGAGGAGTCGAACTGACTTTTTTATTCAAGCATCCTAGGACATGCCCTTTAAAAGAATGGTGGCCATTATTGGCCACTTTCACGTGACCAAATCAGCATCAGTAAGGTAGATCAGTACTCAGCTCATCCTTGACTCGTACACTTATTTGTAATTTTGGGTGAAGATTTGTGAAGGTCACTTACAAAAGCATTGCTTAGAAACCCGCACCCCCTCCACGTGGAAGCAGGAGGAAGGGGTGGCTTTCACGAGGTTCTGCTTGTCAAGATCCTTATCTAAACCTTTATTATAGATGCTTTCTGAAACTTATTAGCAAGCAAGAGACCTTAAGCATCTCAGATACAAATGTCATCTGAAAATGAGGCCCATGTAGCAAGGTACAAACTGAGTAGGACTAAGGGGAACTGAAGATAGGAGAGCTAGTTAAAAGGCACAGACTCAGAAAAGTCATGAAAAAGAATTTGACTCATCTTGAAAAGCACATGTTAGTACATGAACAGTCGGATGGTAGGTTTGTGATGTTTGCAAAGAGTCGTACAAAGCAGTGATGCTAGTTACTGGTCCTCCAGGAGGTAGATTTACCACGTGACCCTTTGGAACAGGTAGACAGAGTTTACGTCAGAGTCGGTGATGTGGGCATTCTTGGGTTTCCACACCTAGGAACTGCACTGTAAACACAGCATGGGGTACGGCTCTCGGGGAAAGTAGCAAGAGTTAGGAAGCATAGCCAAGAGTAAAAATAAAACACTGACCCTGAGCAGGGGTTGAAAACATAATTAGCAGCCTTGACCTGGGGCAGGTCGATGGAGCTACAGATGCAAAGCCAAGTTGAGGGTCCCCTGAAAGGCGGAATACAGGTGATGCCAAGGAAGTCACTTCTGAAGTTGGAGCCAACCACCTCTGCCTTGGAATCCCACTGTCTGCAAGGCTCAGAAGTGGGTGCTGTGAAGTTTGGGAAGAAAATAGAAGTTGTAGCCCTGGCTGGTCTGGCTCAATGGTTATAGCATCGGCCTGTGGTCCGGAGAGACCCGGGTTTGGTTCCTGCTGAGGGTGCGTACCTTGGTTGCACTTTGTCCCCAGCCCTGGTTGGGTCATGCGGGAGGCAGCCACTTGATGTGTCCCTTTCACATCGATGTTTCTCTCTCCCTCTTCCTCTCTCTCTATCTGAATAAAAGATGGGAAAATGTCCTCAGATGAGGATAAAAAAGATAAAAATTGAAAATAGAAGTTGTCATCTGTGCTTTTCAGTTAGAATCCACCAGCCAGGGCTGACAACATGTGTAGATGAACTGGAGAGAAGGAAGCAAGGCACAGGGAGAGGAGAAAACAGGATGCGATTCGCCCGAGAAGAGTGTTACAAGAATGATGATGTTGCCGGTTTGAAGGAGAGGAGACAGTTCAGGGGGAAGAAGGCAAAGGTGTCCCAGAACGCAGGGATGGGTACTCAGAGATGGGTCCTGGTTCTGGGTTCTTGTCCCAAGCAGGGAGAAGGCTGTCTTTAGTGTGGGAATAGGGCAGGTATACTGTATGCTGGTGGAAAGAACTAGTAGGTGTAGATTCAGGGACAGAGTCTTGTTTTAATCAGAACAAGAAATGGTAGGAGGAAGGCAGTGTGAGCAGGAGGCACAATCCTTCCTAATCCAGTGTTCTTGAGTGGAAGCTCAAGGGGTAGAGGCCATAATTAAGCAAAGACTTTAAACAAGTGAGAAATCTGGGAACTGGAACCCCACGTGCACCCACACACCCTTCGAACATACCTACCACTGCCGTCGCGTGGAGTTGTGGGAGGCTCGGATGAGCATTTTATACAGTCCTCTGCATTCTGAAGAGAAGATCTGACGGGTATGGACAGGTGCTGTTCACAGCCTTGGGCACCTGAATGCTTAGAGAACACGTGTCATGGAGCCTAGCTCAGCCTCCGTCCCCGTCCCCCAGAGCCTGGGCCACTCAGATCCAGTCGTCTTTGCCCAAGACAGAACCGGTTTGAGAAAGCCAGCTTTGGCCCTCTGAAATTGGGCTTCACGTATAGACCAGGGAGGATCCCTGCTAAAACTGTGGGAAAGAGGAAGCTGAAATCACGATCTCTCAGCAGCATTTACGTGTGTTTATGATTTGCCAAGAGCTATGGACACTGAGAAAAACCAGATACGGTACAAATAGCTACTGTTTTCAGCCCTGGCTGGGTAGTTCCGTTAGAGCGTCATCCTGATACGCCAAGGTTGTGGGTTCAGTCTCTGGTCAGGACACATACAAGAATCAACCAATGAGTGCAGAAATAAGTGGAACAACAAATTGATGTTTCTCTCCCTCTCTCTCCCTCTCCTTCCTCTCTCTCTAACATCAATAAATAAATAGCTACTGTTTTCAACTATCTGAAGGATTTTAAGGGAGATACTGTGACTGGCTGATCTCCTTTTTTTTTTTAATGATGGAATAAGAGGAAATGTCTTAAAATAAGAACGGTTTTTGGTGAACATCATCATGGAACAGTCTGTTACCTGACTTCCTCTAGTTTCCAAGTCGTACTCTTGCTCCGTAAAGATTTTCTACCTGTTTTTGTTTGGTCTTCATTTTGTGACTCCAATTTGGTTTGCCCTACTTCCTTTGACTCTGAGTCCTACCTTTCAGTCTCATTCATTCATTCAGAAATACATGCATACTTACATGTATGCATACTACAGCCACTCACCCCTTCATTCATTCTCTCAGCAAATGATGTTGAGTGTTATGTGTCGGGCACTATATGTTATGGATATAGAAATAAATGGGAGAGAAACTATTTCTTCCCTAAAGAACCCCAGGAACTAGCAGGGAGACAGATGTAGAAACAGCCCCTTAAAGCAGGGCATATTATTTTTGACAGAGGCATTTTTTGACAAATGGCCCTGGATGCTTCTTTTTAAAAATTTTTTTTAAATTTATTTTATCCTCATCTGAGGACAGTTTTGCACTTATCTTCAGATAGAGCAGGAGGGAGAGAGGAAGGAAGAGAGAGAGAGAAATATTGATGTGAGAGAGACACATCGACTGGTTGCCACCCACACGACCCCAACTGGAGCGGGGACAAACCGCAACCAAGGTATGCCCTCCCAGCAGGAACCGAACCCGGGACTCTCTGATCCGCGGGCCGATGCTCTAACCGCTGAGCCAAACCGGCCAGGGCTGGATGCTTCTTTTACTTGAACAATTGGGTAGGTACATAGATTGTGCTGGGCAGAGAGGGAGAGTGTGGTTAGCAGTTGGCTTGCTGCCTGTCTTACAGCTGTCTTATATTGTCCCCGATGGTGGAGCTCACGGCTGGGGTCGGTAAATATTCGTTGATGACCTAAGGGAAGAAATGGGAT